GGAGCACAATTGCTGGACCACATGGTAAGAGTAGGTTTAGTTTTATAAGAAACCACGAAACTGTCTTCCAAAGTGACTGTAGCATTTTTACATCCCCACCAGCAATGAATGCAAGTTTCCGTTGCTCCACATCCTCACCAGCTCTTGTTGTCAGTGTCCAGATTTTGACCATTCTAAGAGGTGTATAGCAGCAACGTATTTTTCCGCAATTTTATATTGTAAGAATTTCCTTCATGAATATCATTCTTTATAGATATATACTGTTTCAACACAGGGAAGTCATAGAGCACAAAGTACTTAAACTATTCCTTATTGTTATCTGTTTAGATTTTTCTAATTTCCACTATTATCAATAACACTCTGATGAACATTTTTGTACATAAATCTTTATTTACATCTGATCATTTATTTCCCTTGGATATATTCTTAAAAGTGGAAATGATGAGTCAAAGACTACAAACTTCCTGCAAGGGTTTTATAACTTTTCATTCCTATCAACAGTGTGAGGCACTCCCTCGGCAGCAAAAAGTATTACCAGGTTCTTAACATTCTTGCCAGTTTAATAGGTTAAAAAAACGGTAATGTGGGGCCGGCCTGGTGGTGCAGTGGTTAAGTTCACATGCTCTGCTTCAGTGGCCTGGGGTTCACAGGGTCAGATCCTGGGCACGGACACATGCACCACTTATAAAGCCATGCTGTGGCAGGCATCCCACATGTAAAGTGGAGGAAGATGTGTACGGATGTTAGCTCAGGGCCAATCTTCCTCAGCAAAAAGAGGAGGATTGGCAACGGATGTTAGCTCAGGGCTAATCTTCCTCACCAAAAAAAAAAAAAAAAAAGGTAACACATCGTCTCAATTTGCAAATCTTTGATTACTTATATTGAACATACAGTATTGCACGTTTCTTAGCCATTTGTATTTCCCTTTCTGTGAGTTGTCTGTGAGAGTCCTTTGCTGGGCAGACTTTGTTAATAGTGGCCCCAATAATCCAAAAATTGTCTGCAGATGCTGCCAAACAATTTAGCCACATCTGATAGGAGGCCAGGCTCCGGCAGGATTAGAAATTGTCCATGTCAGCATTGCTGTTTCAATGAAACCAGAAAGGGGAAAGTTTCCGTGTTTTAGTGGAATCTGGGAGATGAAGTTATTTTGCTGAGCCACATCTATTATATGATTGTGCCTTCTTTTCTTTTCTTACTCCCAAAGCTTCTCTTTTCTTAAATTCCCCTCTAGCAAGAGAGTTCAATTTGGTGTGCACGTGTCCTTTCTCTCCGTATGTGTTCATCGGTTTCCTGCTGTAAGCGAGGCACAGTGGCCACAGGAATGGACTGTGGAGTCTAGAGAAGAACCTGGACTTTGAAGTCCGGCAGATCTTGGGCAAGTCCCTAAACCTCTCAGAGGCTCAGTTTCCTTTTCTTTCGAGGGTGATAGCCCTACCTTTGGGGAATAAACGTGTTATGAATGCAAAACTCCTGGAATAGGGTCTGCCACATCATAAGACTCCATTTTAGCCCAACATACAATTCTTGAGGCCCATGTGTGTATTTGACACTGTGCTAGGTGCTGAGTATACAAAGAGGACTCAGACAGGTCCTTTACCTACAGGAGAAAGTTCAGGCTGCTCACCCACTCTGACATGGCCCTCTTTGACCCCTGCTGTTCTGTGGCCCCCCTCATTAAGTCCTGTGGCCCCAGGTGCCATGGGTGGTTGACAGCTCTCTTTAGAGCCCTGGGCCTTAGCTGCAGTTCTGGAGCAACAGGAAAAGTGCCAGTCAACATTCCGTGACACAGACAGTCACAGCTATAATTTTTATTTTCTCTCTCCTTCTTAACATTATATCATAAGCATTTTCCCTTTTTAGCATAGTTCGTAAGGATGCCAGCTAGAGCCAGCCAGCCTGACTTTGATTTCTGGCTCTAACACTTAGTAAGTGACCTTAGGCAAGTTGCTTAACCTCTCTGTGCCCTAGTTTCCTTATTGGTCAAATAGGGATAATTATAGCACCTACTTCCTGGGCTGCTTCTTAGGATTAAACAAAATATTTCATGTGTAGCTCTTAGTATAATGTCTAGCACATAGTAAGAACTCAATAGTCTATTATTAATATTTGTATACTGTCTTCATAGCCACCCTTACAATGACTTTACATGATTAAATGGAACAGATATAACTTTCTCTGTCAGATACTTAAAGTGTTTCTGATTTTTATACACAAAGTAAAATATTATTCCTAAAAGTCATCTGTGGTTTACAGACAAAGGCAGAGCAAGAAATTTAAGAATTAAATGTTGACTGAATCAACATGAATACACTTAAATTACCTTTCAAAGAAATTCAACATTTTCTACATATATTACAGGGTAATTAACCCATCTTAGAAGCCCAGGCATGGGTGATACCTGTCTGAGGCAGAGAGCTGGCCTGGATCACTTCAGCAAGGTCTTCTAGTCTTTCTCTGTGATTCTCCAAGCAAAGAAGTTGCGTCAGCCTGTCTCCCCTACTGCCAGAGAATCTCTGATATAGCATAGCTTAGGGCCAACCCAGCATTTTTCAGCTATCACTTGGGGATATCTGGTAGGGCAACTCTCAGGCCATGTCATCTGATGGGGAAATTGTGGGACAGAGGTCCTTCAGCCAACAAGGCACCAAGTTACCACTGGTGTAAATGAAATAAGAACCTACACAGATTGAGCACCTTCTGTGTGCGGGGCTCTGTAAAAACATTCTCTACGATCCTTAGCCCAACCAAGGGAGACAGAATTTATTGCCCCATTTTACAGATGAGGAAACTGAGGCTCAGAGATGTGAAAGGCTTCCTCCAAGGTCACACAGCTGGCAGTCATGACTCAGATCTGTCTGACTCTAAAGATACAAGCTCTTCCCATGGCACCACAGGATCTCTTTTCAATTTAATTCAACTTAACCAGCATGGACTAGCACTCACATGTCTTACCCCTGCTATGCACTGAGAACAGAGAGAATAGCCTAATGGGAGAGACAGACACACAAATCACAAGTTCTAGTATTATAGCTGATGCATGTCTGTGAGAAATAATAAAGCCATGTGGGCCGTTCCATTTATCCTGTTGCATATATTTCTGAAAGCCATCCTTAATCCTTTTAGGAAGAGGCAGAGGAGAGATGGATTGATAGATCAGGGCTGTAATCAATGAATAAACAAAGGACAGTGGGAAAATGGGGAGGGAGAGATTCATTCCCACTCAGAGGTCCAGGAAAGTCTTAGAGATTATGGTATTTTGGTTGGGGTTTGAGGGCTAGGAAGAATCAGCAAGAGAATATGGAGAAAGGGCGTGACCTGTCCACCCCCTTCCCCAAGAGAAGTAAAAACAGAATCTTGATTTGTGTTTGCTAAACATTGGTCTGAAACCAGAACACCCCCAGACACCCCTCTCATTTTGCCCCTCTCCCTTACATACATAGACAGATCTACCAAGAAAAATACAAATGCAAAAACAGACAAAATATACCTAAAACACACCAGCACACATGCAGATACTTAAAACACACAATCTACAAAAATCGATATTAGTTCCCATACTTATAAGCTCACACAAATATCTATAATACTTGTACACATAGACTCACAAAGATGTTCATGCTCTCATACACAAGCTCTCATACATATCCTTTCCCCACCCACTACTCATGCAGGTAAAGAAATGCATTTTTTTATTAACATATAAACAGATTCACAAGCAAATCTCATCCTGCCCTTCTGGTTGGAGGCCAGTGACTAATGGGAAGCCATGCACAAAGGCAAGCATCACGTAGGGATTAAGCCCTGTCAGATGACAAGCTCGCCCCGCCTGGCTGCCCTTGGAAGCCGCTGAGGCAAGGCTGCAGCGCCTGAGCAAGCTCCGGATCCTGGGCGGCTGGTGCGAGGCTGCACGCTGGAATTCCAGCTTCATAAGGGTTTAGTGTCACCCAGGGTCAAGCGCTGCTGTCAGACCCATCCCAATCCCTGCAATAGGCAGGCAGCTCTGGGGTCACAGCAGGGCCGTGGCGTGGGGCTTGTCCTAACACAGTACACTGAGAGTTGTTAGCATTAATGAGGGTTTACTGAGGGCCAGGCACTGGGTTAAGCCCTTTCAGCACATAATTCTCACAACAGCTCTGTGAGAGACGGGTGGGGATGGGTTAGGTGTCTATCAGCCCCATTTTAGAGGTGAGAAAACTGCGCTCAGGCCAGAAAACCACTCAGCAGGAAACGGGAAGCTGAGGTTCCACCGGCCCGATCCTATTTTCCCCGGGGTTTCGGGTAAAGTGTGCACGTGAGCCTGTCTTCCCAATGCAGGAAGCTTGCACCTTCCGCTCCTGACGGGTCTCTAGCCCCCCTGTCCTGCCTGACACAGTGCCTGGCCCACAGCAGGTGCCTGGGGAGGTCGTGGGTCTTGGTTCAGCCTCAGTTTCCCTATCTCTGAAATGGGAATGGCAGCGCAGACATAGCAGGGCCCAGGCCAGGCTCTCTCGGGCAGCAGAGGCAATACTGAGCTCTACATCCTCGCTACTGCCGCCCTCGCCCATCGCGGGGGTTCCAGCCCAGTCCCCACCCGAGCCCGGGTGCGGCGCCGGCGCCCCATTGTTCAAGAGGGCGGGGAAGCTCCGGAGAGAGGACTCCCCGCCCCGGGTCGCGCTCGCCGCCCAATGGAGCAGAAGACGTGGCCCGGCGTCTGCCGTGCGGGGCGCGTCCTTTGTCTGCTCCGCGGCGCCCGGTGCCCGAGGCCCGCGCCCCGTTCCCCGGGCAGACAAAGCCGGGGCTGCCGCGAGCCCGACCGGCAAGAGCGCGGCTCGCACCACCCTCCTCCAGCCTCAGCACCGCCTCCTCCCCTCGGTGCCCTCTGATTGGCCCGTGGGGCTACAAAGAGGCCGGGAAGCGGGTGTGTCACGTGGGATAGCGTGACCTCCCATTGGCCGGATGAGGCTGCCAATCGGGGAGGGCGGGCTCTCCGCGCACGGCCCGGTCGCTCCCTCCGCGCTGGGGCCCGCCCGCGGGGCCGGCCGCCTGTCAGAGGGAGATGGGGATGGTGCGCCCGGTGTCGGCGGCGGCTGCGGCGGCTTCCCTGGTCCGAGGGCAGGGAGGAGAAGATGACTGACCGACCAACTGCCTGAATGAATGAATGGCGGAGCCGAGTGCGCTATGAGGAGCCTGCCGAGCCTGGGCGGCCTCGCCCTGTTGTGCTGCGCCGCCGCCGCCGCCGCCTCAGCAGCCTCGGCGGGGAATGTCACCGGCGGCGGCGGGGCCGCGGGGCAGGTGGACGCGTCGCCGGGCCCGGGGCTGGGGGGCGAGCCCAGTCACCCTTTCTCTAAGGCGACGGCTCCCACGACCCAGGCCCCGAGGACCGGACCCCCGCGCGCTACCGTCCACCGACCCCTGGCTGCGTCCTCTTCAGCCCCGTTCCCGGAGACCACCCCTCCTCGGGCCACGGCTGGACCCGCGCCGACCACCCTCTCGACGACCGCTGGCCCGGCGCCGACCACCCCTCCGGCGGTAGAACGCACGCAGACCACCCCTCGGGCGACGACCAGACCCGCGCCGACCACCCTCTCGGCGACCCCTGGCCCGGCGCCGACCACCCCGGTAGCGACCACCGTTCCGGCGCCCACCACTCCGCGGACCCCGACCCGCCTCCCCCCGGGCAGCAGCAGCGTCCCGCCCACCCCACCTGCCACCGAGGCCCCCTCCTCTCCTCCCGCAGGTGAGTCCCAGCCCCTCTTCCCTCGCAGGACCCTCCCCAGCGGCTGCCCATCCTTTCCCCAGGCCCTAGTGTCGGGATCCTGGTTGGAATGGATCATTTCTCCCCGCAAAGGTTACCCAGATTTCGATTCCTAAGGGGAGGTCCAAGCTCCAGCTAGCCTGTCGCCCCTTTCCCCCCAATCTGGAAAGTCCTTTGTCCCCCCCTGGGCTGTGCTTCCTCGGGAGGAGGCGGCTGCCATGCAGAAGGCATCACCTCCTTCCAAACAGGGCTTTCTGGCCTTTGTCAGAGACCCGGAATGGGCGCAAACTTTTGGGTTCGGTTCGCTCGACCTGCCTCTCCGCCTGGGTTATTTGGGGAAGTTTGAAAGCCAGCACAATACCTCCTTCAACCAGTGGGTCGAAAGCTGAGTAGAAGAGATTCCTCCCAAAGCTCCAATTTCCTTGTTCATTTCTCCTTGTATACATAAATATCAGATGCGCATGTGACAGGTGGAAGAGATATTGAGAGGATTTTGTTTACAAACAGGAGTACAGATCATTTAAGGCAAAAAAAGAAGACAAGACATTGTAATCCATGTTTGCCCTGCAAATAAGTGAATTCAGTAGGTCATTTGGGACAGGTGTGTATCTAGGTTGAGCACGTTTATAAATTAGGTTAAATCCCCTTCTTGCACCATTTTTTTTTCCCTCCCTCAATTACAAGGTCAATATGTTTGGACAAATACACAATTTCAGCAGGGATGTTCATTTTCTCCTCCTCTAAGCTAGAATGTTCAGTTTTGCTAAAGCTGATAAATGCCGATTACTGTTTGAGTCCACATAGAAAACAAGGTTCTTCTTCCTGCTGATTGAAGTCTTCAAGCAAAGTTAGAGACAACTCCTGTTGTTCCCCCCTTTCAATCTAGAGTGGACCTGGAACTAAACAAATAAAACCTACCTCGTCAAGATGTTAGACAAGAGTTTCTGAATTCCTTTGCTTTGAGTTGGGGTGGAGATTTGTCCAAACCATTTGTCTAGCTGTACTTAGGTTAATGGATCTCTGACCTAATTCTTGGGCTCAGTGATTTACTGTGGAGTTAGGTATGGACTTTGAATTTGAATTGTAGAGTATAATTGAATTTGTAGGGAGTTTTCCCTCATGGTTATGAGTCTTAATACAGTCTTGAATCTTGGGTTGGAACTTGGCATTGACTTAAGTAGGAATGCAGATTATTCACCCATGAAAAGCTAGATTTACATCTCTTCCAGCTTCAGGGAGTGTATTAATGAGCTGGATTTTGATTGTAACCTTTTTTGGCCTTCATATGGAGAGATTGACATATTATTGAGAGACAGGAAGCATAGTGGTTGAGAGTATGGCCTCTGGGGTCCATTCTTAGGTTTGAATCCTAGCTCTGCCCCTTAATAACTGTGTAATCTTGGGCAGGTCACTTAACCTCTCTTCAACTGTGAGATGAAGATAATAATAGTACTTGCCTCATAGGATTGCTATGAAGATTAAATAAGTTAATACATTTACAGTGTTTAGAACAGTTCCTGGTGCAGAGTAAGCACCATGTATCTGTTAGTTATCCTTATGACAAGGCTTTTTTTCATGGGATGGAAAGCATTTGAGAAGCCTGGTAGGGACTTGTGATTTTTATTTGTTCTAGTAAACTATAATAGAAAAAGGATGAATTAGATTTTCTGAGTTTGAAGCACACGGTAGTGTTTAAGTAGCAAGATCACTTATTTTGAATGGTTAGTATATGATAAATAAGTCTGTGTAATTGATGTTATTTTACTTTTATTATTTTTGTGTTATTTTTAAATCACAAAGGCAGCCTTTACTTTAAAAAAATACAAACAACCAGAAGTCTGCAAAGGAAAAAGTGAAAGTCACTCTTACTGCCTGCTAGTTCCAGTCAGTCCCTAGAGGTTACTGCTGTTAACAGTCTGATCTTTTTTTCAGACATTTTTCTGGGCATATATGAACATACACACAAAGTTAAAAAAAATCATTTTTGAAAACTCAAAATGAAATAATTCGATATAATTGTTTTGCAACTTGCTGTATTCACTTAGCTGTGTATCATGGACTTTTTTTTTTTCCTGTCAATACCTGAGGTCTACCTTATTCTTTAACAGTTGCCTTTTTCATTGTAAGAATATTTCATGATTTATTAAACCAATCCCTTATTTATAGATACTTAGATTGCTTCTGGGCTTCACTTTAAAAAGCGCAGAGAAGGGCCGGCCCCGTGGCTTAGCGGTTGGGTGCACGCGCTCCCCTGCTGGCTGCCCGGGTTCGGATCCCGGGTGCGCACCGACACACCGCTTCTCCGGCCATGCTGAGGCCGCATCCCACATACAGCAACTAGAAGGGTGTGCAGCTATGACATACAACTATCTACTGGGGCTTTGGGGGAAAAAATAAATAAATAAAATTATTAAAAAAAAAAAGCACAGAGAAGAGTGTGTTCTTGTTAAGTCCATCATGTATATATTCTCTAATACTTTGGTTGGAGTTTCATAGAATCTAGATAAATTTTAAGTGAAGTAAAGCTGGATTGATTAATATTTGCCATTCGAACTGGTCAAGGCTTTTAGTAACTTCCATGGACTAACATATACTTATATCTGTGGTGGTCTTTGGGTGACAGAAATTTGAGAAGAATGTCCAACTTCAATAACTTTCCTGTGTTTTAAATCTTCTGTAATTTATACTTTTCTGAGAATTTACTATGGATTACCTGTGTCTAGTTCTCAGCAGCTGAACTGACTTTGTTATCCTAATGATAGGCAATTTTAGCTTTACAGTGATATAATCAGGTATGGCCTTTTTATCTGAGCATGGGTTCTAGTCTACTTCAGACAGTAAACACATCTCTTTGACGGAAGACTTCTAACTGAATTTGAGAGACCTAGTTTGGCTTGCGAAGTTGGATTCTCTGGCATTTGGGAAGATGGTTGTACAGGGTGTTTTATTGTAATGTTCCTGTAAGGACTGAGTGCCATTGATAATATATGATTGGATGGGTCTTCTAGCTGCTCTTTGAATTAATAAAAATTTCTTTCATGGAAGTCTAGCTGAGAGCTCTTGCCTGCCCCTCAATTAGGGCCCTTTTTTGTTTACGGGGACACTGATCTGCAAACTGAAACTAATTGCCCAGCAAGCAGGCACTTTCCTCCCACAGACCTGGCAAACGTTTGGCTGATTGCTTGGCTGGGTAGGACATGTTAAGAAAGGTAAAGGGAGAGGCTGTGATGCTAGAGGATAATAGTTATCAGTAGTAAGAGACTGAGGTGATAACAAATGTTGATTTGTAAAATTATGGACTTTCAGGGCTAGATAGGTAACGTGGCTCTACATTTTAAGAAGTACTTCCATAGACTTAGCTGAAATATTTCTCCCTGTAGTTAACACCGGCCGGTTCTGGTTCTGCCCTTTGGGGCCATGCAGAACAAGTCTGCTCCCTCTGTGCCATGACAGTTCTTTAGGGATTTGGAGACAGTGATCATGTTCCCTCTGAGTCTGGACTAAATAACTCCAGCTCCCTCAACTGTTCTTTATGTGACGTGGTTTCAAATTCCCTCACTATCCTGGCCACCACTCTTCCGGACTTTTTCAGTCTTTCTGTGTCTCTCCCAAAGTGTGGAGCACGGAGCTGAACATAATACTCCAGCTGTGCTCTAACTAGCTCGTAGTAGGGAGGGCAGTTACCTCATTCTTTCTGGATGCCATACTACTGTTGATGCAGTCAGTTCCTAATCACAGTAGCTTTTTTGGCAACCACATTATGTTGTTGACTCATTGCGTCCATTAAGATAACTAAGTCTTTTTTTTTTTTCCAACATGTGCTAGATGAGTCTTCCTTCTTTCTGGACTTGGAAATTCTTGTTATATTCTAAAGTATAAGCTGAGAAATTTGCCAAACATATAAGATTTATTGTGCTAGATTCAAGTCGTCCTTTTAGATCCCACGTCTGTCGGTGTACCCCACCCAGTTTATTCACATTCACCTCCAGGGTGTTCCTATAGACAGAGTCTAAGGACAAGTTAGGGCAGGTTAGGCTTACCTCAGAGGAGAGAGTAAATTTATGGATGATAAAACAGTTTGGAAGGGAAGGAATAAGAGTTTAGATTAGTTCTCAAGGGTCTCTTCCAGCTCTCAAGTTCTGTGATGATTTGGTATGCATGATTCAGGGCACATTAATGCCCCTCAGAGAGCCTTAATCCTTTATTTGTGATCTAAGTTAAGAGAATAGGCTTTGTTGAAGCAAGCCCTAGAATTTAGAGTTTGAAAACTCTGACTACTATGACATGTAAATAAAATACTATGAATGAATTTTATTTGAAAGGAACATTCTGGGAATGCAAGTCCCTCCTAACTGTACTGGGAAATATTTTCTTCATCCTAAAATTCTCTACTGCTAGGTTCAGGGTCTTACTTGCTTGTAATTATTTAAGAAGATACCATTCATTTTCAGGAAATAGAAATTGTTCAGGCTCCGAAGGTAATGTCTTTTATCCAAAACGTATGGGGCTGGATGTGTTTCAGAATTTAGAACTTTTCAGATTTTAGAAAGTTAATAAATACACCCCAGTAAAGTCTGGGGCAGCATCCTGTAATCAAACACAGGAAGATATCTGCATCAAAATGCATGTACATATATTCACACTGAGTGAGATAAAGACTATAAATAGCCTTGCATTTGTTCAGGTCAGGTTTTGCTGCCAAATAAGTTACAGAAAAAATTTTGGTTTTTGCATCTTGTGGTATTTAGCATCAGATCTGAAGGACTGTGGACCACTGTAATAGTATAGTACTTACTATGTTCCAGGCAGTAAGTGTCTTACATATATTAATTTATTTAATCCTCGCAACAGGTGTAATCGAGTTAGGTACTATTATTATCCTCATTGTATAGATAAGGAAACTGAAGCTCAGAGAAGCCTAGCTATGGCAGAGCCTGGATTCAAACCTAGTCATTCTGGTTCCAAAATTCGTATTATTCTCT